CCGAGGTCAAGGGCACAGAGAGACAGCGTAAACTAGGACAAGCCAGGGTCTGGTACACGGAAAACAGCAAGCCGGCAAACAGTACAGATAAGGATAAAGCGAAAACGAAGTCAGAATACGAAGCCAAAGTCAATACGAGAAAACACAACTGAACACCACAAGCGCTAAAGGGAACTGAAACAGAAACCACGATAGGGCAACGAGCTAAGGGAAAAAGGTAAGTTTAAATAGCTTTAAAACGAAAGTGATTGGCTCCTGTCACTTCCACACCCCCTATAGGTAATTGTACAGGGAGTGTGGTATGACAGGAGCCAATGGGAGCCTTTTGGCAATTAGGCTCCCACTGTCTCTTTAAGAGCGCGCCCGAGACTCGCGGCGCGCTCTTAGTTTCAGGCGGGACACGTGACCGCCTCACGCGGTCACTGCCCGCCTTCCATCCAAAGCAGTTGGATGAGCCGCGCGCGGCTCGTGTAGCCGCAGGACTGCGCGCGGCTTGAAGAGAGGACCGCGACCGGCCCCCGGTTAAGGTAAGTAACGCTACACTTATCCTTCTGCGATCAATTTGATGAAACATCTTTTTTAGAAATTCCTTCCAACAGAGAAAGACAGACTCATCATCTCAATATTACACCTATAAAAAGCCGCAAGAGAGGACTAGAGGGAGGAGATCAGGTAGAAGACAACAAAAAAGGAAGGCTAGAAAGTTTCTAGATCATAAAACTTATGAGACACCTACCAGTATTTTTAATTTATCCGATAAAGTTTTGAGTACAACAGAAACAAATATTCTAAAACGAGGCTTAAAATTCGCCCCTACAAAACCATATAACTCCTTCCTAGCCTATATAGATGTAAATAAATTTGTTAGGAACGCGACCTTAAAACGTTTTTTTGTTAATAAAGATAATTCTAATCACACAAATACAACAAAATATAAAAGTAGTGAACTGAAAAATAAATCCACTTTTTATCCTGTGCATTTTAAATCTAGTGCTCTAGATATATTCGAAAAGAAAGTATGTAAGGACTTAAAGATTCTAGACACTAAAAAAATAAGAGACAGACCAAATATGAACAGGAAAGAAATGAAAATATTGAAAGAGTTATATGACGACACCTCAATAGTAATTAAACCAGCCGATAAAGGCGGAGGTCTCGTCATTCAATCTAAAGAAAAATATGAAGCGGAAGCTTATAGACAGCTGAATGATCAGAATACCTATATTAAATTAGATAATGATCCAATAGTGGATATAAAATCTGAATTTTATGATTTTTTCAAAAAGGGAAAAGACACTGGAATTTTAAGTGAAAAGGAGTATAACTATATCAAAATACAATTTCCTAGGATCCCAGTGATATACTTTCTCCCAAAAATTCATAAAAGCTTAAATGACCCACCAGGACGCCCCATTGTGTCGGGAATAGGATCCCTTCTCTCAAATTTATCTGAATATATCGATATAATGTTGCAACCGTACGTCAAACAAACAAGATCATATTTAAAGGACACAATAGATCTTTTGAAAAAATTGGAAACCATAATTTGGAAAAATGACTATATACTCATTACGTGTGATGTACAGCCATTATATACGATTATTCAGCATGACAAGGGATGCCAAGCAATTAGATCCATTTTAGAACGAGATGATTCTATGTTTCAAGAACAAAGAGATTTTATTATTGATGGCATAGATTTAATTTTAAAACACAATTACTTTTGGTTTAGAGATAGCTTTTTTCTACAGAAAACTGGGACAGCTATGGGTACCAGGTTTGCACCCAGTTATGCCAACCTCTATATGGCGGAGTGGGAAGATCGGTCCGTCTGGGGGGGGCATGACTGGGAGGAAAGCCTGGTTTCCTACTCCCGTTATATAGACGACCTCCTGTTTATCTGGAAGGGTTCTATTAGTTCAGCTAAGGATTTTATCTCTTTTTTAAATAACAACGAAGAAGGTATAGTTTTAACAGCAGATTTTAGTAGTACTATGGTGACCTATTTAGATTTAAATATATACATTGAAGATAATACAATACAAACAAAAACACATTTTAAAGAGGTAAATGTAAATAACTATATAAGTACTGAGAGTTGCCACAACAAAATATGGCTAGACAGCATACCTAAAAGCCAATTGATGCGTCTTAAAAGAAACTGCTCAGATAAATCTGTGTTTTTAAAGCAAGCAAACACATTAAAGAAAAGTTTTATACAAAAGGGCTATAATGCTAATCACATTGATTCAACTATTAATCAAACAGCTACATCTAATAGGAATCAACTTATACATAAGGTTAAAACTCCAGTGAATCAGAGCAATCGTGATTTTACTTTACCAATTGTATTAGACTACAACAATAAAAATAGACAATTGAAGAAAATTTTAACAAAACATTGGCACTTACTGAAGGAAGATGAAATTTTAGGAAAAATAATCCCTGACAAACCAAAAGTAATATTCAGAGGAGCACCTAATCTTAAAATACATTTAACGAAAAATTTTACAAAAAATAGCCCCAATAAAATTAACAACTTTATGGACAAAAAAGGTTTCTATAAATGTAATTGCTGCATGGCATGTAAGAAAACAAAAACTACTAAAAGAACTATTACTGATTTTAAATCAAACAATACTAATTAAATATATAGTATAAAAGAGGTCATTACATGCAACAGTAAAAATGTAATCTATTTATTGGAATGTTCGTGTGGCCTCCAATACGTAGGTAGAACGATCAGGCCACTAAAAACTAGAATTGCAGAACATTGTAGAAATATAGAAAAAGGTTTACAGAATCATTCAATACCAGCGCACTTCTGCATGCATAATAATGACCCTAAACATCTCACGTTCATTGGGATTAAAATAGTTAAGAACCACTGGAGAGGGGGAGATGTTATAAGAAAGATTGGACAAACTGAAATGCAGTGGGTATATCAATTAGATACCCTACACCCCAAGGGGCTGAATGTTGATTTTGATTTATTCAATTTTTTATAAAATATTATTAAAATATTATTATTATTTTTATTTATTTTTCTTATTTTTTTCTTATTTTTTTATATATATTTTATATATTTTTATATTTTTATGCATTCTTCCAACATTCTTGTCCATCCTTTTTTTATAACATGTCCCAATATGTATATACACCGATTGGGTTCACTTTTTTTATAATATTTTTAATATTTTATGCCCTATGGTTGCCAGTTATTCTGATCATTATGTCAAATTATTTATATACATTATTTATATGTGTCATCTCTATTGATCCACTATAGAGATATTTATCCCATAGTGGTGCTGTCTCTTCCTCTTTACACATACTTATTTTTGAACATTTGCTATGGCTGCTAGCTATTTTATGATTATGTTTTACTTTTTGTATATATTATTTATAATGTACAATCCTTTTTTTTATCACTGTCCTATTATTTGTATATTGTATTAGTGCAGCTTCTTTTCCTCTTGTAAACATTATCTGCACCATTGCTATCAATATTTTATGTTGTTTTATCTTATACTGATTGTTGCCCTCATCAAATATGGCTGCTATGCCATATGTGCATCACGATATGCCCATACTCTTTTTCATTGGAGAGTGGGGCGGGTGACGCTTGGAACGCTACGCACACCACTTATTGGTGATACGTACGTTCTAAGGCGCCAAAATATTACATTTCCTCCTAACTATGACGCCGCGGTCATTTCCGGTCTGACGCGAGCGTGTCAGTACCAAACCGGAACCAGGAAGTAAACACACCAGGACATTATTTCTTCATCAATAAGGATATAAAAATTTACTTTTTGGACATTACACCACACTTCTGAAGAAGCCTATCAGGCGAAACGCGTTAAGTGGGACTATATTTTATATATTTTATTCTTTATTCTGTTTGTTTATATTAAAGTATACTTTTAAAGTTACTTTTTATATTTACTATTTTTTATTTCCTGGATCCTGTATATCCTTGGTGGGGATTATACCACCTAAGCTGTTTATACCAGAGCAGGTCACATGCTCTAGAAAGTGTAAGTACAATACTATTTACCATCCATCCTTACTTCACCATATTGCTGCTATCTTTCTTTTTTATCAACTACGCTCATTGCACTTTGAAAATATCCGTGGCAACTTCTACAAATCCAAAGACGGGGATTGTACCGTCCAAGCGCTTCACAGCAGAGCTCTGTTATAGCTCATCCAAATGTGAGTGGACTGTACATAGCCATAAACTACCTGTTTTTAAGATAAAATTTACTGTATTGCACTATTATTTTTTATCTTAATTCTTTTCCGAGGTTACAACTAATTGGAATATCCAAGGATACATGTATGTATTTTCTGCATATATAAACTACTAGGCGCGGTATACGCCCTCTTTTCTGTTTTTCCTTTGCATTATGAGTGACATTTGTGAAAATCACAGAGCCTCGACTCATTTGATGAGTCAGTTCAATCTCTATCTCTCTCTGAGCATCTCTGCTGACCGCAACACTCAGCCCAGTATGTTGGTCAGCATGTAACAGCAGTATGGCTGCTGTCAGATTATAGAACACGTCTCTCATCTTGTTCGATAAGTGGAAATGTTGCTGGTGGACAAATGGCTTATTCTATAAGCTTCTGCTGGACTGGAGTATTTAGAGTTAAAGCAGACCCCAGAGACCAGAATGACATTTGAAGTTTCAGGATTTTAGAAGATACATTTGAATTTTCCATGATTTTTAAAACATTATCTATATATAGCATTAAAAACAAACAAACAAACAATAAAATGTTATAAATTGTTGTCGCTGATTGGGGACATTTTTGGGCTGTAGTGGTTATGGTGATTGGAGTGTTCCTTCAATAGTTGCAAGATTACAACAACAGCTCTGCGCTACCACCAATTTATCCCTAATTTTTAACACACAGTTATGAAACTGACTGACTATAATAACCGATCATAAGAGTATGGCAGCTAGTGGCATGAAAAAAACGGCCTACTTACCCTACAAGTCCAGGGTTTGGTTCTGTGCGGAGCTGGCATACACGATGTTCTGAGCTGCACGGCTGCAAGATTATGGAAAGACACAAAAAGAAAACAATATATAAACTGCACAACATACAGTAAAAACATTGTAACATTAGAAGAAGAGTAGTATGTATCAAGTCCATGTAAGTACACGCTTTTCAGGTGAATAAGAATTACAAGCAGGAGCAAGAGTCAGAGGTGGTAAGTGATGAGAGATCAGACATCTTGTGAAGCAAGTTTCATTTTGAGATAATCAACCCTATATGTGTAAAAGGACACTATAGGCACCAAAACAACTTTAGCTTAATGAAGCAATTCTGGTGTATAGATTATGCCCCTGCAGTCTCACTGCTCAATTCTCTGTCTTTCAGTAGCCCAAATCACACCTTTCTGCAAGTAACATCCACAGTTTTCCTAAACACTTCCTGTAAAGAGAGATTTATTTTCTATACTTTCTTAATTGCACAGTCTGTTTAATTTAGAATTTTTTTCCATCTCCTGCACTGTTAAAGGCTTGCTAGAAGCTTTGTAGAAGTCCCCTATTTATGATTTTAATTCAATTTACAGAGGAGGAGATAAAAACATCGAAAGTAGGTTACAACATTTTTGTTTTCATGCAGGCTGTGTGTCCAGGTGTGGATTGGGCTGCATGGACAGACAAAAAAGTGATTCAACTCCTAAATGGCAGAGAATTGAGCAGTAAGACTTCAGAGGCACTATAATGTCCCTTTGGTATATAATCAAAGACACTAAGGGACTCTCCAAGATCTTGACATGATTGAAAAACTGTAACGTTAAGGATCTGGGAGACTCTCCTATACATAGATTAATAAGAAGATTGTTAATGACCTGGACCTTTGCATCTAAGGTGCAATTTGGCAAAAACAAGGGACACTTCATGACTCGAAAACAAATAGATTAAAAAAATTCACAGTTTAGTAGTTGTTCCCCAAATTAAAATATGCATGTGTTTAATTATGCATTTGTTTTCATTGGGGTTATTTCTAAAACAGCTTGCAAAATCTGCAGTTCCCTCGTCTGCAGCCTTTACAAACCCTCCCCTTCTAAGCCCACCCAGACTTTCTGTGGCTGTCCAATCACAGACTTCCCAAAGTAGGTCAATGAAAAAAGTCTTTGCAAGGCAGGTGCTCTGAGCAGTTGCTGCCTCTTGAACGTATCTCCACTGAGCTAAACAACCAGGAAGTTACAGGACCGGTTATCTGATTCACAGCCACCATGGGGGGGGAGGTTATAATAAGGCTAATTGATAAAACAGCACTTTCTGTAAAATGAAAAAGAGGACATACTCTTCACGTATAAATTAATTTAACAAGCTGAAAGGGATTCTCCAGTGCCAGGAAAACATATTCGTTTTCCTTGCCCTGCAGTACCCTCTAGTGCCCTACCTCCCACCCCCCATCCCAAGTTGCTGAAGGGGTTAGAACCCCTTCAGTGACTTACTGGAGTCCAGCGCCGATGTCCCTCGGTGCTGGGTCAGGCTCCGCCTACGCTCCTCCCATGCCGACGTCAGCCGGCAGGGGAGACGTAATGTGCATGCGAGGCCGTCAGCGGGGGAGACCTAATTCGCGCATTAGACCTCCCCATAGGAAAGCATTGAATAATGCTTTCAATGCTTTCCTATGGGGATTTTGGCGACGCTGGAGGTCCTCACATACCGTGAGGATGTCCAGCATCGTTTTAAACCACTTTTCATGTTCTATGAACACGGAAGTCTCCTCTAGTGGCTGTCTAGTAGGCAGCCACTAGAGGAGGACTTAACCCTGCAATGTAAATATTGCAGTTTTTGAAAACTGCAATAATTACACTTGCAGGGTTAAGGGTAGTGGGAGTTGGCACCCAGACCACTCCAATGGGCAGAAGTGGTCTGGGTGCCTGGAGTGTCCCTTGAAGTGCTTTAGGAATCCGAAATGTCTCTTTAAGTCATTATTATTATTACTATTGTTGCCATTTATATAGCGCCAACAGATTCCGTAGCGCTTTACAATATTATGAGAGGGGGGATGTAACTATAAATAGGACAATTACAAGAAAACTTACAGGAACAATAGGTTGAAGAGGACCCTGCTCAAACGAGCTTACAGTCTATAGGTCATGACACTGAAGCCACACTTAGGTGCTGGTCCAAAATGTGATCATGACAGTCTTGTGCCCCTTACATAATAATGATTATGTGATATTGTACCGACATTGTGTAAGGCAGAATATTGCTAAGACTGCTTGAATAGCCCATGTAACCCATTGTTAACTGTATCGCATGTAACCCATTCTCATTCACTGGCTGTAATGGACTGCATGAAATTAATTAATAAACATGGAAAAAGAAACACTTGTTTGGCCTCTCTGCAATGTTCCTGTAACAGTAAAGGACCATCTTAAAAGAACACTCTAGGCATCAAATCCAATTCTTCTCTTTGAAGTGGTTATGGTGTCTGGTGTTCACTAATGCTGGCTCACAGTTTATTGTCTCTGCATTAACACAAGCAGTGATGAAAGACAGTGGGCTGGTATAAGGCACACTGTAACTTTAAACACAAACCTCATATGCCATGAGGAGCAATCCCCCCCCCACCCCGAGATGTGAATAACTTCTATATATCACCACTTCCGTGTTTATTAACATCCCATTGTACAGCGCTGCAGAATTTGTTGGCGCTTTATAAATAATAATAATAAAGCTATTAACAATTACCATATTTAAATACCTGCCTCGGTTCACGAACCGTGGTAAATCCCAACAATGTTGCAATACAAACTGTAAGGAAAATAAACCTCCGTCACTCCAATATTAAAATTTGAAATATTTTTTCACCCCTTAGGAAAATTAATATCATCTGTAGTGAAAACAATCCTTTGTTGCCAGAAGCTAAATTCTGTAAAACAACAGATACAGGCATGCAAAGAACTAATGTTTACAAGTTAAAGGATCACTATAGTGTCAGGAAAACAAACTCGTGTTCCTGACACTATATAACCCTTAGGTCCCCCCCATCCTCAGGGCCCGCTTCCCGCTAAAAAGCCCTTCAGCAGTTTACCTTAATCTAGCGCCAGGCTCCCTTGGCACTGGTGAACTCTCCTCCCCCGCCGACATCAGCTCCCAATGCGCATGAGCAGCAAGAGCCGCGCGCGTATTCAAACAGTCCATAGGAAAGCATTTCTCAATGCTTACCTATGGACGTTCTGCACGCTGAATGCGATTTTCGCATTCAGCGTCGCAGAAGCGCTTCTAGCGGCTGTCAGGAAGACAGCCACAAGAGGCTGGATTAACCCTGCAATGTAAATATAGCAGTTTCTCTGAAACTGCTATGTTTACATGTAAAGGGTTAAAACCTGGGGGACCTGGCACCCAGACCACTTCATTGAGCTGAAGTGGTCTGGGTGACTATAGTGGTCCTTTAATATGAAACATGTTGACATAAGTTTTTTTGTGACTCTACCTGTTGTTTTACAGCATTTGGCTTCTGGCAACAAAGGATTTAGCTACGGATAATCTTAATGTCCCCAAGGGGAGAATAAACATTTTGGATATTACTACGGGAGACCAGGCAGTTCATTTTCTGTACAGCTTAGAGTGTAACTTTGCCTTAGCTGTACCTGCATGGGGGTCTGGGTCGCAGGTGCTAGTGACCTCCAATTCAATGTTAAACTATTTGAAAATGGTTTAACACTAAACCGTGAGTCGGAGCCATGGGACTGCAGGCAATCAATGAGATGAAGTGATTATCATGTGTATTGTATCCCTTTAAATGAAAATACAGACTTAACAACTCTGTTACTGCTGCTGATACAAACAAAAGCTTTCTCCTGTACATCTAGTATAAAAAGCAGTTTAAGGTTACCTGGCTTAAAGTAGCATTTCTCAAAATTTACAACGGGAGTTTTTCACCTAATATTTTTTAAAATCAGTACAATTCAGCATTTAGTTAATAAACATCTTAAATAAACACTAAGTGTCCCTACACAGCCATAAATAAACACTACGTGTCCCTACCTGATCTTGTATATGTCTGTTTATTCCTATCCTTAAATTAACACTATAGTGTCAGGATTACAAACATGTAGTGTATTGCTGACACTATAGTGTTACCTGGTGTGGCTGTTCAGGTGGCCGGCCTTGCTCCAATCGCCCAGGAAAGGTGAATTTACTCGCCGCCCTCCGTCCCACCACCATGGCTGAGATCAGCATTCTTAATGTCCTCGGCCAATACAGTGCTTTCCCATAGGAAAGAATTGAGAGGCTATTGTGCATGCGCGGCAAAACTCTGTGCAAATCAGCTCCTCCTCATAGAGACGCATTGAATCTCTATAAGGAACGTTCACACTGTGCAGCATTGAGATAGGAAGCACCTCTAGTGGCCGTCTGAGTGACTGCACTTAAAGGTGCGACTAGGTAGCAATGTAAACTTTCTGAAAAGGAAAGACCGGGCCTGGCACTCCAGGGGGCCCAGCCGCCCTGCGGACCCCTGCGACCATGGTGCCTGCCGGCTATGTAACGCGGCCCCGGCCCACGTGGTATAACTGCAGGGGCCGTATTGAAGGGGCCCATTGGGTGGCCCATGCTGTTAGGGCCACCCGATGGCAATGAATTATCAGGGGGCCCGGGCGGGGCTGCGGCTCTTTAACAGAGTGACCGGGCCCCCTGTGATGACATCAGAGCTTGGAGGAAGTGACTGCCCCAGTCACCTCTATCAGCTTACACACAGCGCCGTGCGGGAGGAAGGAGAGGAGGGAGGCAGAGTGGGAACTCTGACTCCCATCAGGCTGAGCCACCACTGGGACCTCAGGGAAGTCATCGTCCTGCACCTATAAGGTAGGAAACAGGAGGGTGACTAAAACATTGTATGTGTTTGTATGTGTCTGTATATATGTGTGTTTGTATGTATGTGTGTGTGTGTGTTTGTGTGTCTGTATGAATGTTTCTCTGTATGTGTATGTGTTTGTATGTCTGTCTGTGTGTCTGTATGTATGTGTATGTGTGTCTGTCTGTAACGTATGTGTCTGTGTGTGTATATGTGTGTGTTTGTATGTATGTATGTGTGTATGTCTGTGTGTGTGTCTGTATGTATGTGTCTGTGTGTGTGTGTATGTATGTGTATGTATGTTTCTGTTTGTGTATGTATATATGTATGTGTGTTTGTATGTATGTGTCTGTCTGTATGTGTGTTTATGCATGTATGTGTGTATGTGTTTCTGTATGTATGTGTGTGTGCTTGTCTGTATGTGTGTCTGTATGTATGTGTCTCTCTTTGTGTGTGTGTGTTTGTTTGTATGTATGTATGTGTCTTTATTTATGTGTGTGTTTGTATGTGTGTGTGTGTCTGTATGTATGTATGTGTGTTTTTCTGTACATGTGTGTGTGTGTGTGTCTGCATGTGTGTGGGGAGAACATATGGGAGTGGGATTGTAGACGTATGGGGGGGTGGCAGTGGGTTAAAGTATGCACCGGGGCCCCGTGGTTTCAGCTTGGCTACTTTGGCCTTAAATTTAAATACCCTCTGAATTGATTTTGAAGTCCGAACAAATCTCACTTTTCAGGACCTACTCTGTTCTGTTCAGAGGTCTGGCTTCTGGTATCCTGCACCATGCCCTATGTATCCACTACCACACTGAAGACTCCTAATCAACTACATCAGGTGACATGGCATTGGCTGTGTAATACAAAAACAACTTAAAATACAGAAACTCCCCCTACATGTGAGGGGAAATATTTGAGTCAGCCAGAGCTGTACAACCTGCATTTCTGGGCGTCTGAAGAATTAAAAAAGGGACCGAGTGAACTTTAAAAACTCTAATATTTTAACTGAATAATCAAGGAACACAGCATGCCAAGCTCTGCCCTATTCTTCCAAACCTATAAAACAATTTACAAAGAAATAATAAGATAGAAAATGTTCAGCCAGTACGGCGGTCAGGTCCATGATGGGGAACAAGCCTTGGGCAAACCAGTCAATCTAGTAACATCAGTGCCAAATCCAAAATGAAAGGCCCAGCTCACCTGAACCAGTGTGCGGCAAGATCTGGATTCCTGCGGACCCCAACTCCTACACACAAAGAAAATCCGAACAATGTTATTGTGTAAATCAGTATGTCACTAAACCCCATCACTGTCAATGCTATGAATACACGTGCCAACGCCTGTACAAAACAATACAAAATAAAACGTGGCCTATAATCGCTTCTTTAATCAATCCACCCTGCGTCTCTGCAGAGAGACTGTAAATGCCATTCACAATCCCAGACTCAACAGTAGCCTCTACAGGTCAAAGCAGGGGGTTGTAATAAGGCCTCCAGGAATTAGGCAGAGAATGGGACGTCGCTACAGGACTTTTTTTCAGGCTGTGACTGCAGAATGTGAAGCTCTGTAAAGCTCAGATTCTTGGCGTTGGTTACCTTACTGTACATAGTGTATGAGGACTGTTTGCTCTCATAAATAATTCATGTTTACATTCTGATTGCATGTTAGGGAATATCGGCTGGTTCATTATAAACACCCATAGGCGGGATATTTGGTCATTTTAATGATCTTTTTTTTGGTCTCATTTACTGTATGTAATAAAATAAGTTATTTTTGCTTCTATTCAGAAATCAGAATTCCATTTATGAATAGAAATAATAACTGAGAAAGGTCACTCTTATGAAAAAGTGACCACTAGGTTAGAATCCCAGTCCACTTATAAATTCCATTTATTCTCTACATTTGATTCCCTCATTTAGTTTTGTAAAAGAGGAATGAAAAATTGTGTGTGTTTTTTTTTTTTTTTTTTGTGTTCTGCAATCTGTATTTAAAATTGCTGTTTTTTTTCTCAGTTAGGCTATGGACCCTGTTTCAAATAGATTTTAGGCTCTGTGGTGAAAAATCTATGTTAATCTATGTTAAATTACGTTATTTTAAGAATTTTGCAGACAGTTTCTTTCTGGTCATGTCGCATTTACTGGTAGATTTTAATTTATATTTTTTTATACCTCTCAAGTATCGCTGCCCCACAAGGTGCTGAGCGCTTGGATATCCCAGCTGGGCGTAGAAGTGAGTGACGTGGAAATGGAAATTCTCGTAATAAATCCAGATGTAAAGCAACAGGAAGAGAGAGCTGCAGACGGTCATGATCTGCGAGAGAGGAGAGAGGGAGCTGTCACATTTTCGGGGCACTGTGAACAAGATTAATGGATTGGCTGAGCACCATGGGAGCCACAGTCCACAGCTGGCTGTGTTCTACAGACTTCCGTCCGTTACCTAGAAACACAGCTGGATAAAAGATCTGATTCGCTCCTTCCAGAACACAAAATAAGTAAATTCTTTAACACATGCCAACAGCCCTGTGTTGCCACGACAGTCCTAATATAATACTGCTTATTTGGCTGCTGTGTAACATTTTTAGAATAGATTTTAAACCCGCTCTGTCTTTACAGTACTAACAGCTTATTTTTCCAATTATCCATTCTTGCTGTTGCAGAAGCCCCTTCGATGGCATTGTCTATGTTATACTAATTTTCATGTTCAGCTCACACAGAATTTCCTGGACCAACATCAACACTACATGTTGGAGGACGTTACATGAAAAGGGCTACCCTGCAAAATGTAGACTCAATTATGCTGTAGGAGGCATTCAATGAAATATTGTTTTTTAAGCTCCTGTAGAATCATTCTGTGGTCTAGTATCCCTTGATCTTTATAACATTGAAACAAAAAAGATGCAAAAACAGAGCCAGCACAACTCACAAAGATGCTCAGGATTGGTCAGGAATATTCTCTAAGCTCAGATCTGTGGAATATTGCAAAGAGATACATATTTCTTTAAATTTAGGCCAAAAAGAGAATTTGTTTAATTCTGCTATTATTATATCATATTCAGCTCACTTGTTGATTCTGCACAACAGCCAATTCAGTGAACAACAGAGTTACTTACTAAACCATTGACTTGTCTGTAATTCACCAGAGAATTTTACATTTTAGTCTAAAAAAGACAAAATTAAAAAATACTCAAATTGAACTATATTTTGAATTAGGTTATTTTTGGCCTAAACATTTAAATTATCTTTGAATTCCCTGCAAATTGAATATTTTGGCCTAAAGTTGGCATTTTGGCTTTTGTTTTATTTGCTGTTTAGGGAATAAACTGCCATAACAGTTCCTTCATCAAAATAGGTAACATAATGAGCTGACAATCTAAGGTCCCACAGACATTAGAGTCTTCTGCTCACCTCCCAGCGATGCCAACCTGCAGGGTGTTTTTTGCCTGTCTCTGTACCCATCGCAACTTTTCCTTTCCTCTGGCGCAAAGCTGAATTCTTCATGCTCTCTGTGATAAATATAACTGATCCTCTGCATTTATAGCTGATCCTAGCTCTCTCTCCCCCCCTACACCAGAACATTTACCCTGCATCCTGCCTTTGGACCATTGTCCTTTGACTCACAGATCCGGCAGGCACACTCTGATTAGCCATATCTTTGGGGACAGACACCCATTAATCTGTCTCAGAACCAATGGTACAATTCACATAGAGATTGGGAAGTAACGAGAGAGATAATGCTGTTGTAAACTTGAGAATTTATCTGTTTTTGTCTAGTGCTAAATACCAATGTATATAGAGGTGCATTGTGATGAGTTTAATTCATATTCAAAAATGGATAACAACAGAGGCAAATAAAAACACACATTTTTATTTTTAGGAGTAATCAATTATTAAATTTTAATATTTGCACTGTCATATTCCACATTTAAAAAAAAAATAGTGATAAAAAACAAAACAAAAAAAAGACAAACAAGGGTTTTAGATGGTCTTTTCTCAACAACAAGCCTACAATCTATACTCAATATTTAATTAAATTATCAAACGTGTCTTCTGATTACTGTCCAGATACGTAAAGGCTTTTTTCATTGCACACAGAGCTGTGCCAATATGCCAGTATTTGCACTTGGCGATACTTATAGGAGAGGAATTAGAAAATATTTCTAGTATTTAATTTAGTAACAGATTGCTTCCCAGCTTTCAGTACACAGGTCACTAGTACAATGTTGTTCCTGGCCGTTCGCCCTGTGTCGCCTGGTTGTATAACCAATCTCTTAGTTGCATTAAATTTTAGTTGCTCAGGACCTGCTCATATAGTGGGCCCTGGTAGAGAAGAGAAGTAACATCCGTGTACCAGTCAGAACGTAAACTGCTGGCTGCACGACACACAGAGACTACAATGCACATTACTCCATAACCCTCTCCATATTTATATATATATATATATATATATATATATATGTACACATATAGGTATTGGCTGCTGGGATGTGAGGCCATATCCCGACACCTACTCTCTGTTTAAAGGGAAATCATTTAATTTTAACAAAATGATTTTGGGACATAGATGCAGGCCTGCAGCTTTGCAGATGAAAGCAGCCATTTCCGAGAAACTGCACTCTTTACATTTTCCAGTTTTCACACCTCCCATGGGTTATCAGACAGGCAGACACTATAGACTTTAGTCTTAAATAAATTCACTTATTAAATCTATTTGATATTCTGCATCAGCACGCAAGGTATGCCGACATGGGATGCCATGCACGTCCTATGATTCTCTATGAGAAGCATTGGCTTGTGGCAATTTCCGTGCTTCTCTGTGAGAAGTATCTGATTGGACACATCTCATCAAGTCTGGAGACTGTAAAAGGCAGACCTGGCTTAGAAAAAGTGACTTATCTTAGAGTTTGAACACCGGTACATTTAGGGCTTTTTTGATGAAAGGGAAAGCTAGAGGGTTGACAGCGTTTCTGCTTTCTCTCTGGCAAGGATTAAAAGCACTGACCAGCAGTACATGAAACTCCTGGTGGAAAATCTATTTTCATAACTGAGATCTCGAAGGGAATGCCATGGTTATTGCATCAGCTCTTTAAACCCAGACAGACAGAAAGATGTCACTGTCCCACCCTGCCGGCTGCAGCACGCCTGTCAATGCTGTGACGTCACCGGGGTCACAAACCGAGTCACCATCACTACTGTCCCAACCTGCCACCTGCAGCACGCCTGTCAATGCTGTGACGTCACCGGTGTCGCAAACCGAGACACCATCACTACTGTCCCACCCTGCCGCCTGCAGCACGCCTGTCACTGCTGTGACGTCACCGGTGTCGCAAACCGAGACACCATCACTACTGTCCCACCCTGCCACCTGCAGCACGCCTGTCAATGCTGTGACGTCATCGGTGTCGCAAACCGAGACACCATCACTACTGTCCCACCCTGCCGCTTGCAGCACACCTGTCAATGCTGTGATGTCACTGGTGTCACAAACTGAGTCACCATCACTACTGTCCCACCCTGCTGCCTGCAGAACGCCTGTCAATGCTGTGATGTCACCAGTGTCACATACCGAGACACCATCACTACTGTCCCACCCTGCCGCCTGCAGCACGACCGTCAATGCTGTGACGTCAACGGTGTCACAAACTGAGTCACCATCACTACTGTCCCACCCTGCCGCCTGCAGCATGCCTGTCAATGCTGTGACGTCACCGGTGTCACAAACCGAGTCACCATCACTACTGTCCCACCCTACCGCCTGCAGCACGCCTGTCACACTACTGTCCCACCCTTATTATTACATATTATGCTATTTCCCTGTTAGTATTATTAATATTACATATTATGCTATTTCCCTGTTATTATTACTACATATTATGCTATTTCCCTGTTATTATTATAGAAACATAGAAACATAGAATGTGACGGCAGATAAGAACCATTCGGCCCATCTAGTCTGCCCAATTTTCTAAATACTTTCATTAGTCCCTAGTCTTATCTTATAGTTAGGATAGCCTTATGCCTATCCCACGCATGCTTAAACTCCTTTACTGTGTTAACCTCTACCACTTCAGCTGGAAGGCTATTCCATGCATCCACTACCCTCTCAGTAAAGTAATACTTCCTGATATTATTTTTAAACCTTTGTCCCTCTAATTTAAGACTATGTCCTCTTGTTGTGGTAGTTTTTCTTCTTTTAAATATAGTCTCCTCCTTTACTGTGTTGATTCCCTTTATATATTTAAATGTTTCTATCATATCCCCCCTGTCTCGTCTTTCCTCCAAGCTATACATGTTAAGATCCTTTAACCTTTCCTGGTAAGTTTTATCCCGCAATCCATGAACCAGTTTAGTAGCCCTTCTCTGAACCCTCTCTAAGGTATCAATATCCTTCTGAAGATACGGTCTCCAGTACTGTGTACAATACTCCAAGTGAGGTCTCACCAGTGTTCTGTACAATGGCATGAGCACTTCCCTCTTTCTACTGCTAATACCTCTCCCTATACAACCAAGCATTCTGCTAGCATTTCCTGCTGCTCTATTACATTGTCTGCCTACCTTTAAGTCATCAGAAATAATCACCCCTAAATCCCTTTCCTCATATGTTGAGGTTAGGACTCTATCAAATATTCTGTACTCTGCCCTTGGGTTTTTACGTCCAAGATGCATTATCTTGCACTTATCCACATTAAATGTCAGTTGCCACAATTCTGACCATTTTTCTAGTTTACCTAAATCATTTGCCATTTGGCTTATCCCTCCTGGAACATCAACCCTGTTACATATCTTAGTATCATCAGCAAAAAGACATACCTTACCATCAAGACCTTCTGCAATATCACGAATAAAAATATTAAAGAGAATGGTTCCAAGTACAGATCCCTGAGGTACCCCACTGGTGACAAGTCCAAGCTTCGAATATATTCCATTAACTACAACCCTCTGTTGCCTGTCACTCAGCCACTGCCTTACCCATTCAACAATATTTGAATCCAAACTTAAAGATTGCAGTTTATTGATAAGCCTTCTATGTGCAACAGTGTCAAAAGCCTTACTGAAATCTAGGTAAGCAATGTCTACTGCACCACCCTGATCTATAATTTTAGTTACCCAATCAAAAAAATCAATAAGATCAGTTTGGCATGATCTCCCTGAAGTAAACCCATGTTGTCTCTGATCTTGAAATCCATGTGTTTTTAGATGTTCATCAATCCTATCCTTTAACATGGTTTCCATCACTTTCCCCACTACTGAAGTAAGGCTTACTGGCCTATAGTTGCCCGACTCCTCCCTATTACCTTTCTTGTAAATGGGCACAACATTCGCTAACTTCCAATCTTCTGGGACTACTCCTGTTAACAATGATTGGTTAAATAAATCTGTTAATGGTTTTGCTAGTACACCACTAAGCTCTTTTAATAGCTTTGGGTGTATTCCATCAGGTCCCATTGACTTATTTGTCTTTACTTTTGACAGTTGAAATAGAACCTCTTCCTCTGTAAACTCACGTGTAATAAATGACTCATTTATCCTTTTTCTCAACTGAGGTCCCTTTCCTTCATTTTCTTCTGTAAATACAGAACAAAAATATTCATTGAGGCAGTCAGCCTGACCTTTATCCTCTTCTACATACCTTCCTTCTTTTGTTTTTAATCTAACTAATCCTTGTTT